GTTAGCCCACCTGGTAGTAGTGGAAGATGGAGTCTGCAAAAGAGTCTTTTCCTGGAACGGTGTTGGTCCAGAGCTTCTTCATGAAGAAAACCTGGTAGGTCAGAGAGGGCAGCAGGCCTAAAGAGACGGGGCTAGGGTTAGGGTTAGGGTTAGGGTTAGGGTTAGGTCAGAGACCTGCACTATTTCTGGGGTTTTAGGGATTCTGAGTCACTTTAATTAAATTTAATTTATCTACTCTGCACCTTGGGGATGGAATAACCTCCAGAAAGAGCTCACACTAAAAACTCTAGTGTCCATTAATGAGTTTAAATTAGAAAGAGCTCAAACTAAAAACTCTAGTGTCCATTAATGAATTTAAATTAGAAAGAGCTCACACTAAAAACTCTAGTGTCCATTAATGAATTTAAATTAGAAAGAGCTCAAACTAAAAACTCTATAGTGTCCATTAATGAGTTTAAATTAGAAAGAGCTCAAACTAAAAACTCTAGTGTCCATTAATGAGTTTAAATTAGAAAGAGCTCAAATTAAAAACTCTAGTGTCCATTAATGAATTTAAATTAGAAAGAGCTCAAATTAAAAACTCTAGTGCCCATTAATGAATTTAAATTAGAAAGAGCTCAAACTAAAAACTCTAGTGCCCATTAATGAATTTAAATTAGAAAGAGCTCAAACTAAAAACTCTAGTGTCCATTAATGAGTTTAAATTAGAAAGAGCTCAAACTAAAAACTCTAGTGTCCAATAATGATTTTGAAGCAACCATAAAGAGTGTAGTGATGGAGATATGTGCTTGTCTTTCTTGAGATGCTCAATGTGTTTTAAAATATTGCTCTGATTTTATTATGTAAAATGTATTATGTATGATTCTTTTTTGTGGTTTGGCTGCTACCTTGGCCAGGTCTCTTTTGAAAAAGAGATTCTGAATCTCAATGAGACTTCCTGGTTAAATAAAGGTTAAATAAAAATAAAAAAAACTCACCAAAGGCCTCTCCAAACTCTTTTTATTATGTAAAATGTAATATGTATGATTTTTTTGGGTGGTTTGGCCAGGTCTCTCTTGAAAAAGAGATTCCGAATCTCAATGAGACTTCCTGGTTAAATAAAATAAAAGATTTTTTTAAAAAGTGCAATCTTTAAGAATATAGATCTGAACATACAAATGAACAATTGAAATGTTTAATGTTGATGTCCAACCACAGACCAGAATATAATGAAAGTGTATTGTGTAAATTAGTGAGATGGGGGGGGGGGGAATTGGGGGGAATAGGGGGGTCACTGGCCTTGTTGATGAGGCCAGTTGCTGCTGGATTTTTATTTTATTTATTTATTCCTTTATTTGATAGGGACAAGTATGTTTCATGAAACATGTCACACACTATAACATTTCAGCTAAGGCTGATTCTCAACGCCTGTCCCCAGTTAGGCTTTTACACAAAACACAGTGACTGTACACAACAGAACAAAACACACACTAAAACATCACAGATAAAATAGGATAGAAACTGTTTTTATGGCCTTAGGTTTTGGTCCTGATGGTCCTCAACCTTCTACCTTTCTAAAGTTAGTGACCGACTGCAGCATTGAAATGTATAACTGTCAGATGGTTGAAAGCACCACCTCCAACATATAACATACGGATTCGGAAAGTCTGGGACATTTATTTGATGGAAAAAATCACATATTCCCTAAAGCTCCAAGAGTCTACTTTTAATACGAGATGGAAGTCTATTACACCGCTACTAATCCAATGATGTAATTGGTGAATCACCTCAGAATCAGAATCAGAATCAGAATCAGAAATACTTTAATAATCCCAGAGGGAAATTATTTTTGTTACAGGCTCCATAAGCAAAACAAAGGCATATACATATGTACATGTCTAT